GGTTGATGTGTATGAGTCCAATGTTTTTTTTTTGGTTGTTTAAGTGTTTATGCTTGTTGAATTTTCTGTTGTTATTTGTTGTTGAATTTCTTTGCTTTGTGTTATGTTAAAAGTGCTGTGGAAGGGAAGTGCAAAGTGCAGCATCAAATTATTGGCGCTAATAATTTGTTATGCTCATTATGCTGTCATGAAATTACTATGCTTTAATGTATTCTGTTTCACTTTAATGGCCTAAGATGTTAAAAAACAAAATCGTTTTGCCAGGCTTCTGATATTGCGTCCATGCCAACTTGAAATAGATGTCTTTGTTTGCTGAAGCATCAGTCACGAGCCCATAAGTTCCGTCTTTTGTGAATTGATTTTTTTCACTCCCGCATGGTCTTTTTGCGATGGAGTTTTTCACACACACCCTAGTTCAAAAGCGATTCTAGCGCCCAGGTGGGTCCCATGTGTGTCACAGCTAAGCCCCACAAGGGCCCTTCGCCGGCTTCCATGTGGGACCCAGTTGGTTGCCCATGACATGCCCGCATGGGCCCGAGGTAGCAAGCCAAGGTGGGCCCTATTCGGTTGCCCATCTCGGATCCACATGGGTCCCAGTTGTAAACGTTGGGTGGGTCCCACGTGTGCCCCAGTTAGGCCCCACATGAGCCCACCAGGGTCACCCATATGGGACCCAGGTGTTAGCCCATGACATGCCCACATGGGATCAAAGTGGACAGCCCAGGTGGGCCCCATATAATTGTCCAACTGGGACCCATATGGGTCCCAATTGGACATACTGGCTGGGATGCCACGTTGCCCTTCATTTCTTTGTATTTGCTCTGAGGGTCCTGTGTTGTTATTAGGGCCCTTGCTGTTAGCGTGTCAGGGCACTCTTGTCAATCGCGGGCCCTTCCACGGATTATTTCTATTCGCCAGGAAGGCTTTGGGAGCTTTAGCCGGGGCCCTATATCTTAACCTGCCGGGGCATTCTCGGTTGCTCAAGGGCCCTTCACGTGGGTCTCGGTTAATCTACAGACACACTTGCGATATGCTCGTGGGCCTCTACATTGGTCTAGGGCGTTTCCAATTCTCTGTCACTTGCTTAGGGCCCCACGCTCTTGTCGGGGCCCATTTGATGGCCTGCTTGGGCACACTCATTCGTTCGGGGATCCTCCATACTGGGTCTTGGGTACTTCTTTTCTGAATGAGGGCGGCCTACGCTCTTATGGGGAGGCCTATCTGATGACCTGCTCGAGCATATTCGATCGTTCGGGGGCCCTCTACATTGGGTCTAGGGTACTTTCTATTGGAATGAGGGACCCTACACTCTTGACAGGGGCTCCATATCTTAACCTGCTCAGGCGCACTCAATCGCTCAGATCCCTACACGTTGCGCCGTGAGTATTTATTATTATAATGGATGGTCCTATGTTCTTAGCGGACCCCATCTATTCATCTGTTCGAGCCGCTGGCGGATGCAGGTGGTGGGGGGCACGGAATCACGACTCAAGGACCATGCCGAGGGAATCTAAAGGCTCCGAAGGGGCCATAACCGGCTGGACGGACGCAGCTTTCCTACATCAAAAACGCAACAAAATTTGATGCCTTTGGGCCTGCAGGCGATTAAGACACCTTGTTAACAAAAATAAAGAGCTAATAGGCAAACGAAGCTCATTCTTCGCTGATTAAGAAAGTACTGCTTGGGGAAAATTTTGGGACTCAGTACGCCGTCTAGAGGCATTACGCTGTTGATTGTCCGGCCCTATATGTCAACTTACCGGGTCAATCTGATCGCCAAGGAGCTTTCCACGTTGCCCTTGATCTCTGCATTTTCTCGTAAAGCCCAAAGTGCTGTCTGCCTCCATGCCTGAGCACTGTTGATCAGGTTTTCTTCCACGGATTCTTCCCACTCGCCCCAAAAGCTGCATTATATATATATATATATATATATATATATATATATATTGGAATGAGGGAACAAGAACTATATATATATATATGTATATATATATATATATATATATATATATATATGGTTTAATGGATAGCCAGAAACCAGAATATAAGTGGACTATATCCGGGAAGGCTTCCGCATCTGTCCTCTTACGGCACCTGTCGACTTCCAAGACTCTGCCCTCCCCCTCCAACCATATCGAGAAATCGACACCTCTGCACGTGCGTGAAGTTCGCAGCAGTTCGACATTCGCATTCAGCAAAAATCGACATCCTTCTTCGATTTTTACAGAACTTTTCCAAAAAAGCCCAAGGCGCTTTGACGGCATACCAAAAGCTTGTTATTGGGTGTTGAGCGGTCGGCACTCCAGAGGTCTTAAGCGGTTAGCCGTTATTCCCTCGCGATGGTTGCTACGCAGGGCAAATTAAGGTGCCAAAACCGATGTTAGCCTGTTCTATTTGAACGTGCATACAAATCAAGACAACCTAGAATGTCCAGGACCTCAACTAGGGTGTGGATAATGTCAGGTGACGTGATGACCCATGCAAACAGTTATGAGTGACACATCTCCAGTACGGAAATGTAATGCCGAGTTGAATGGTGCCACTTGATTGATCGGATGACCACTAGGCCAAGAGTTATACATTTAAATGTCTAGATAAAGTCAGCTTCTGTCGCAAGGCATTATTTCCCGTTGACTATAACACGACACCCAACGACTTAAACAATCATGGTCCCTCTGAGGTCCTTTAAAACGCTACAAACGTGGCGCCACTCAATAAGGAGGGCATGTTTCAGCTTTTCATAAGACATCAAAATCTTGGAACTCCAGAGGTTACCGCATGCCAGATCGACATTCGTTGCGTGCATGTATCACGCGTGATGGCTGCTGAGCAGGGCAACCTAATGTGTCAAAACTGACACCAGTCTGTTTTATTTGAACGTGCACACAACTTAAGGCGAACTTAAGACTTCAGCATCTGAGCTGGGATGTCAGGTTGCGTGATGACCTCACGCAAACAAATAAAAGTGACACATCTCCAGAGAAAATGTAACGTCAAGTTAACTGGTGCCATCTGCTTGATCAAATTAGTCTGATTCCTAGTTCAAAAAGTATACACGTAAGTGTCTGGCAACAATCAGTTTCTGTCGCAACGCGTTATTTCCGGGTGAATCTAACGCGGGTCGCAACGAGTTCAACAATTCTAACCCCGTGGATAAAAAAAAACGCTTCATATATAGCACAGCTCAGAAAAGGGAGATGCTTTGGCTTTTCACGGGGCATCAGAAGCTCTGCTAGAGAGGGGGCCAATTTGACCCGCCGGCATCTCGGGAACTAAGAAAACTAGAGATACCAAATTCACGGGGTGTATTGGTCTGTACGTGAACTCACTCAGGTCAAAGTTGAGGCTATTGTGTCATAACCTTGGGCCAAATAAGATAAAACAAGGTTTAACTCCAGGTCGGTCTCTTAAGTGCCACCAGAACCCAGACACCTGTTCTAAGCAAAAGGTACACGCTTAAGTAAGGTCAGTTACCTAGTTTGGCATTTGAGCTGTCATGGTCACCCAAATTGTACAAGACCGCTTCGAGTTTTACATTTGAAAAAGTGACAGATTACGCCAGGCAATACGTTCCTAAAAACAAAATGCTGACCTGTGCCAGTTTAGGTCATTGACATATTATGATCTTTAAGAAGCCCATGGAAGATGTATAATGCGATTCCTGGTATGAATAACTGGAAATGAGCGCCATAAAGTTAAATCAATAAAACAAACTGGTTTTGACCCTGGCAGGACCTTTATACCCGACCTTAGGTCAATGGAACTTCTTCATTACATTGTTGTGTTGCCTACGAAAGCAACCAAGAGAAGTATGACTTCTTATAATACTCCGTGATCACATCAGATTGGACAATTCCCTAGAAATTGACCTTGCTGAATCCTTGGCCTGACTTTGGCCTGCCGTAGGTGAGTGATCTTGCAAAGTACACCTAAATTTCATAGCAAATTATCCGCTATTCAATTGTCCACAGCCATGCAAAATTTGGCGCGGCTACGCCGCACCGATCAGCATTCCGAAAAAAAATTCGGGGGATCAAATCGACCCCATCCTAGGGCGTGTTAGGGTCACTTAGGCGTCCATGTTTATATCTGGTGTTTGTGACCACGATTTCCAGATATAATGGCCGTCAACCGGCTGTCAATTATTTTCAGCACGGTACTATTTCGTCACACCTGATGATTGCTTCAATGTATTTAAACGTGGAACACTCCCTTCAAAAGGCGGGAGTGCACTCAACGTGGCTCGACTTTATAGAAAATAAAACGTGCCGGAAGCTCGTAAGGAAGAACAAAGCACATTTAGAAGCACGCTGAATGTGCTTCCAAATGTGCTTTTTGGAAGCACAGAGTTTGAAAGGCATCTTCTATCAACAGAAGCTGTTTTTAGAAATTCTGTGTAGACAACTTACATGACGAGTCAGGATAGAGGTACACAAAGCACCGCAACATTCGGAAAAAATCGAGTTACGAGAGGTAAGTGGAAGGTTACGAGATCGTTAGCACTAGTGCAAGACTTATACGACACCTCGTCATTACCGCTTTGCGACGCACCCAGCTGCAGAGGCTATATAGCGCCGCCTGCCTCCCACCCTGGTAGGGAGGGCGGACAATGCGTATTATTAACCCCCAAAGACCTAGTAACGTGAAGCGCAGCTCTGTACGACACACAACGTCCAGCCCGTCCGCGGCAGGCTTCGGTAGGCCATTCGACGACATTCACACATCTTGTTGAAAGATGGGCGGGCGTTATGCTCATGGAAAAACTTCCTTTGACGCAGTTGCCTCTTTCACCAAATTTTAAACCGTTGCATCGAAACTTTCTGATTGGGTGAATTTCTGGCATCCGAGCTTCCGGAAAGCATTGCTTGTTATGTGAACCCTGATCTCTCTCATCCGACCATGTAATTCCAGGTCAACGACATAACAGGGCACAAGTGGTATGGCGGTAGCACAGTGTTAAGCTTGCGACATGAACGTTCCAGATTTTTCCAAATGGGGAGTAGCTGGGGTTACAATTTATTTGATTTATATTTCTTGTTAATGTTCGTACATGTTCTGAGCTAATACTGCTTCTGGTTAAAAACACAAAACACGAAACCCCGTTGTTCCTTACAACACAGCCCAAACACGCAGTTACACATTTATGAGCACGAATGACTTCTGACCCATTCCCATTGCCCAATGAATCACGGTTGCCAGTCATCAAAGGCATGCATGTGACCTGATCACTGAGTTTGGATTCCCACAACGTCGCGGGACGTCACATATCGGACGGGACACGGACGTGTGGCATCCGGAGCGGCTGCACTAGTGTAGCGTTCCGGCGGCCGGGGAACGGGGCTGCGGCAGCCAGTATGGCGCTACGGCATCCGGGATACAGCGCCAATATAGCACCCCGACGACCGGGTTGCGACGCCAGTACGGCGTTCAGGCGGCTGAGATACGGCGCCAGTATGGCGCTCCGGCGGCCGGGGTACGGCGCCAGTATGGCGCTGTGGCGTCTGGGGCTGCGGAGCCAGTGCGACGCTCTGGCGCCCGGGGCTGCGAGGCCAGTATGGCGCTCCGGCGTCCGGGGCTGCGGCGCCAGTGCGGCGCTCTGGCGCCCGGGGCTGCGAGGCCAGTACGGGGCAGTGGCGTCGCATCCGCCACCGGCACCACAGAGCGGGCTGCGCGGCTAGGTGGCCGATGGCGGCGGCTGGACGGCCTCAGCCTCCCGGAGCGCGGCCGACTCGCGGCGCAGCTCGCAGATCACGTTAGCCAGCGATTCTGGGTTGACGCCGTTCTCGCACAGTCGCACACACGTGGAGAGCGTCTCACCGTCCAGCCCTGCGGACAGCACGGGCGTCAAGGGACGGGTATAACGAACCAATCACAGGTCTGCGCCTCTGGTCACGCAGATAATGGCCACCTCTTTTATGTCGTTCGACTGACGGGGATTCTAGGATTCTTACGACTTAATCGTTAAAATGCTCAAAAAGTAAACCAGAGGCACGAAACAGCAACCATTTACCCTGATTCAAAAACAGGTTTTAGATATTCATATGGTATGATGTACACCTCTTTGTACACCAACATTTTGTTATGTACACCAAGACTTTCTGGCACTTTCTCACCCGTGTTTAGGATGTTGGAGATCTCCATCAGGATATCAAACGTTTCCTTCTTATCTCTGGCCCGCTCAGCCGCTGGTCCTGACATAGTGTTTCCTGTCAGAAAAAAATGCATTCAGTAAAACACGGAAAAGAATTGGCCACGAGGCAAGTCTGATTTCTTGCAAGGAACACGACGCACGTTATCACGCCCTTTTTATGGAGCGCCAGCGACTGCCACGGCCATATTAGCGTTCCGAGGCCATGACGAAGCTGGGATTCGAACTCGAGCCCCCCACATGGGAGCCTGACACTCTAACCATCTGACCTTGATTCAGAATTGATTGAAATAGAGCTGCTGCCTTGAACGGAGTCTGCGGCAGTGTCAGGATAAGGCAGGCAGTACATTCACACTGCTACAATTTGTGAGGTTTTAACCTTGACTTAGGGCCTTTCAGAGGATGGGAAATTTGACATTTTCACTGTCAAAGTTGTCTTAAGTGATACACTTACAAAGTACATATCAGGTTACTTCAGTTGTTCAGGACTTGTAACAATGATGTTTCGCTGTTTGGAACCCAAATTGTATGCTCAAAGTATGGAAAAGTAGAATCAGAAGACTCCGCTGGTAGTGTCAATCACTTTCGGCACTCTCCCCATCCATTGAGTAACCAGCAGTCCAGAAAGATGACATGGGTGGTGAGGGAATGGACAACATGAGGCAACAACAATAGTCTTGAAACTTAATGTTGCACCCAGAGGATTGCAGACAAAGAATGTTGGTGCCAAGAATACCTCCACCTCCAATTGTCACCCAGCTGGTACCAATTTCAGATTGGCCCTCTGAACAGAGCCCAAGAAGTTAATCAAATTCATTGATGCTTCAGATTTGAGCATATAGTTGGCCACATCATGCTTGCTAAGCCTCCTCGCTTTAGCAAAACCACTCATGCAGGGCAGTCCTCACTACATGTCAACAAAGCATGCTTTCATATAATGTGGGGTACATCTGACACAGCATGTGTTACACTACATTTCACCATGTCACACACACACTCATATATATAATACACAGCACACAAAATTTACATCCCACTGGTCAAAGGGCGATAGTTAAACTGATAATACAGTCACCATTAAAATTAGTCACAGAATTGGCACATCTGGTCTGGCCACTATCATCTGCACAGCACAAAGATCTGCAAGCAGCTGATCAAGGTGGCCAAGCCTGGCAAAAGGTGGCTAGGTCCCAGCAATATGAGGCAAAAGCCTGCCTGCACACTGGCTGGAATGGCCAAAGCCAAACTTATCTGATGAACTGTGATAATACAACCCAGCTTTTAGATTCAAGGTATACACAACATGCTCTATTAAAGAAGAGTTTTGAACTCTAAGTCACCCATGCAAAGCCATGTTGAACTAAAAGCTTTAAAAATCAACCAAATGAGCCATGCCACCTGAGTTATTGCAATATCAGTAAATCCTAGAGATAGACTCATAATTGGCATAACCAAGCACAGAACTTAAACGTGAGACTTATAAGACAGCTTTAAAACAACAACAAAAAAACAAAGCTAACAGAAAAAGCGATCATGCAACCAGTGCAGTCAAAGCTTTATGTAACAAGTCATACCTGGCCTGACCTGCAAATTATGTGCTTTCAAATTTTGATAAGTAGATCCAAAAAGCTACTAGAGCTGCAATAAAGGCAATCATAACCTGGACTGGGGTATAACCCATGTTCAGGTATCCTGAAACAACATGGTAAATATCAAAACCTGAAAATCACAGGGTGGACATTGCCAATGTCAGGGTGTTCATTTGTATTTCAAATTAAAATATGAATTTCCATCACCCAATATATTTTGCCAAAATGCTACACACTTTGGGAGAAGTTCTACATCATGCAAAGGTGGTCTTCTTTGTGCAATCCTTGCTCAACAAACACAGGGCTATTGCAGGATTTCCAATACAAAAATGAAATATTCACCATACAGTTCACCAGTGTCAAGTGGTCTGAATCAAATGAGGCACAAATACATGTGTTAGAGAAGGCTAGGCTCTTGGCTTCTCAACTAGCAGCCCAATCATTTGCTTAAATTTACATCCCTGAGCCAGGTATGAGGCATACCTTCACAATTTTCACATATGGGTGTGCTGAGGCCAGTGCTGAGCAGCCTTGGTGACTAACAATATTGACATCTCCATATACAAATGCCTTGATTTTGACATTGTGAGAAAGCAGAAGCCTTCACTGTCTTTTACACCATGTCGTTTCTGGTTATGAACCAGCAGAGACAACAGGCACCCAACTTAGCCAATCTATAAAGCATGGCAAATCTGACAATAAGATGTTTGGGGCAGGCAGAATCCTGCCCCACTTAAGGTACCTAGAAAGCTGCCACAGTTGGGGTAAATCTAGTTATTACTTACCCCAAAACACAATTTATCACCTGGCCTTGTACACTTCTATGATTCCACCCATTTTTTACATCACAGAACACATAAGGATGCCCTCTACACACTAATTAAATTAGTGTGTAGAATAAGTACTTCACAGTTAGTGTGTAAATTAGTATCTTATTAACTAGTAATAGTAATTTGAATTAGTACTTCAATGACTTATGGTATAAAATGAAGTCATGACTGAAGTTTAAGCCTTCCCAAATTTGTGATCATGACTTATGATTTCAAATTTGTTCTCCTCAGATGTGTGTGCAATATTTCCACATTGTCCTGGACCTGGTGGTCCTGGTCCACATACAGTATCAATCTTCCCAAAAAATTGCAAAACATATATGACAGGGCAGAATGATGTTCTCACATGCCACACATCTGCTGACTAAGCAGTCTTGGTGATAATGCATGACCCTGGGTTACACATGCACAACATTTTTCACACATGTAGTGACAGCATGTGAGTTAGAGCAGAGCACCTGTGCTGAAAAGTTTTGGTAGCAAATGACACCAACAACTAAGATCAATAATTTTTCTGGGATTTCACCTCAATTTATTAAACCCAACCCCACCCAACCTTTTCCTTTGGATAAAACTTAACAGGGCGGCCTCCTCATTGCTCATTTGACTTCACCATCTTTAATGGGAATGCTCCATCTTTGAAGCTATTAAAGCAAGCATCAGGTATGATGAAATAGCCCCACATATAGCTATTGGTATGTCTTCAAGCAGACAAGACTGTCCAAGATAATGCAAGTTCTCTGTAAAATAAGCATGCTCCTCAAGATGAAATTGTTCAATTAGGTCACTGGACCATACACACCATTGATTGAGAGCTAAATGACAGTCAATATATCTGAAAACAATGCTGACAGCACCAGATCTAAACAGCTTGACATTTATATTTTGCTTGGCTACAACCTCTAAATGGCTTATGAAATGGTGGGCTATGAATGACTTATTGTGACATCATGGATGGCTCAGTGACCTGAAAGCAGTCTAGATAAAAAAGGCCATACATCTCCACAGCTATATATCTCGGAAGCCATACAGAATTAGGCATTGAGATGGCAGGGCTGTGAACTGCACCAAATATCTTCAAGGTGGCTATTTCAGTTTAAAAACCCATACAAGTGTGGAATGGAATACTCTCTTCAATACTCCCACATGCTGTGATATCAGTTCATTTGCAAGTGAGCATAATGCAACTTTGCTGTATTCCAATTACTTTTGGTATTGCATGGCATCAATATAGAATCTTAACAAGGTGTCTTGTGAAGACCATGCCATTATGACATACAGTGTGAATTTCAATAAACTACTAATATGCTGGAAGCTCTCCCCAACTTGACCTCTACTCCTGTCAAATCCACCAGTTTGCAGCCTGGCAAATAAGGAAATAATCATCAACAAACATGTCATATACTGGGCTGAGGTTAGAAAGACTTTGATGTATGTTGGGAGTGTATCTTAGACCTTCAATTCAACAGGAAGTTTTGATGAGAATCCTCAGTGAAATGCATTACTCAGCCTGCCCTGTTCTATGGCATGCTCAAATTCAGGACCATCACGATTTCTCTGAAATTGATAGGGAACCATGCGTAGCAGACTATTCAATAGAAAATAGGTCAGGACCTCACACGCCAGCACCAGCTCTTGCTAGGCCTTCCACCGCTGTTTCTCGAAGATAAAAAAGCGCCTGTGCCCTGAATCCACACCTCAATCTGGCGTCAACTAGAACGTGTCCTTCAGTTTGGAGCTTGGATCGGGCTGTGGCAGACATTAATGGCGCACTTCATTCATATGATTTTTGGCTCCATTCTTTTTATAGTTTAAAGTTCATACAACTGTTATGATTGTTATGATCATATACCTGCATAATTTTGATATCTTTTTTAGTAACCACAACAAATAAGACAGATGAATGGAGTGTCTGCTTGCTGTTGCGTAAGGTCAGCCGCGGCTGGCGTGCACCGGCACACCGGCGAGAAGCGCCTCAGCGGCAGCGCAGGGCCCTCCGAGCAAACGCAAGGGAACCAGGGGAAACGTAGACGGCTCGTTAACTATCAGGTTGTCTCCGTAAAATGGACACATAGGGCCCCGGAAACAGCACAGGGTCTCTGGACAGCGGAAGCAGTCTTAAGACCACCTTATCACCGCACTCTTTACCAGTGAATGCTAAGTTTTGTCTCTCGTGGGCCCTTCACTTTCGTTTGGCCGCTGCCACCGACCGCAGGCCATCCCACTCACGGACGAATAGCATATGCCTAACTGACTCGAATCCACCCTGCCACGGCTGGGTGAATCGGGAGGTAGACACTGCAATCAACTGAGTTACATTGAGGCGCGGAACAGCTGAAAACGCAGTTCGGTGTTATATCTTCCGCCTGGTTTTACCACAAAATGATGGTAAGAGATAGAATTAATACATTTTTTGCCCTGTGTTCCAAAGTAAACGAATGCAAGTGGTGTCCACTAAAACGTAACCCGGGATACAGCTCCCAAGCGTCGAGCTTTCTCAACCTGGCCAATGTTTTCCTGGTAACGTCATTTGACCACTGCATCCTGACACACTGAAGATAAACTTTTTCTACATGATAACTCACAATTCATAACAGCAAAACACCAAGAGTTGCGAGTCTTTCTTGCTGATATCAACTTTCAACACGCAATAAAACGTTGGTCGAGTTTTTCATAGGGGCACTTTGTAACTTAACCGGTCACCAGGATTTACTTCCTCTCTCTTTTGCTGCCCTTCCTGCTACCGATACGCCCGTGGGGCGGGTTGTGCAAGTTCAGTTTATCTATTTTATATTGGTGCATCCGGCTATGATGCACAGACGTTTTCCACAAGCTTTCGTCTCTACGTCGTAGAGTACGTCATTTAGCAAAAACAAAACAAAACAGTAATTTTTGCGCCCCGAACCAGTTTGGATGCATGAAAAGATACTTGATTTTGTTGATAGCAAACGGTCGATTTCCGACAATGTTTTTCTGTGAACATTGCACTGCATTCTAAGCTGTTGATTAAATGAAGCTCCGCGTGGGCTTGAATTGGTAAGTTATTTCTTCTGCAAAGCATGCTTTGTATCTAACAATCGTACGTTTTGACAACTTGGACGCCAATTAAAGTAGCCGGATAATGATGAGGATTCAGGTTTTGGGGAAGGCTGGCACACCTGGCAATATATTTGCAACAAACTGAGAACAGGCACGTTAGTAGACGAAATTGTACGCCAGCAGCTTCACAAACACAATGAGGAGGTGGTTACAGGCGTCGCATTCGTTCATCTAGCCCCTCCGCTACTGACAACTTACGCCATTGGCCTTGAATGGCGTCATATGGCTTTGCATGTTCTCACGTTACCTATTGCGATCTCATTAGGCTTACAATGACACGAAACATGTTTTCAGTGAGGCATTCGAATTCTGCGTTACAAATTACCGAGTAAAACTGCCTATTTTGAGCTGAGGATGTTTTTGTCAGGTAAATCATGACCTGGGCCGGGGGAACGTGTTCTGTGATCACAGGATGGTCACGCATGTAAGTAAGTAGTCTTTGCTTCTGGTGCAAACACCAAACCCGCACAGAAATATCTACAGAACTACGTTATTTATGAAGAATAGTAAAAATCGATCTGACTTTTGGTCGCAGACTTCTTACGTTCCAAAAAGATCTGAAAGATACAAGTTGTAGGTACTATCATGCTCCATTACAATAGCAAGTTTGGACAATGACAAATTACCCACAAAAAGTTATGTGCGGTCAAAGTATTTAGAGCTTAATCTCTCTGACCGGACCCAGGTCACTATACTCGGTAAATAAAAACTCCAAAATTACAAAAAGTCATTGATAAACGGGTACTGAAAATTTCCTGCCGCTGCAAGCGTTTGTTCTTTTACATGCGCTAAAAAAACCGTAGGGGAGGTAAACTTTCCCCGTCGGACGCGGGTAAATCGACTAAACCCCCACCAATCAATTTGGGAAGGTGATACCCCTGGCGTTGCCTGCCTGTCTCCTTGGCACGAAGAATACGCACGGTGGGAAATCAAATGCCGTGTTTGTGGTTTCCTAGATACGCGGCTTAAAGGCAGCATGCTCCCCTGCCTGTAACTTTTACTCATAGGTCAGGCGCGTCCTATTTGACCAGGAACCCCACTTTTTGAGCAATCTTTGTGGACAGCCAATAATTTGTTTGAAGTAGCCGTCTCGGCGGAAGAAATGATATCAGACCACATGTTGAGCGACATAAAAGTAATGCTGTTGATTCCGGTGCCGTTCCCAACATGTATGTCATGTTAAAAACATAATTCGCCAATTATTCAAAATGCATTGACATCAATAATATTAGCACTTGCAACACGTCATAGAGGGGAAAATAATCCAAATATGAAGCATTATCACGTGAATTCAACAACATGTCGGGCTATGGATTTGATTTATTCCTTATGACGCTTAGCAGTGGCTATTTTCTAACCGAACTTTGACTTTGGGAAACAGTGTTTATTTCGATGCCCAGTTCGTTGCCGCAGAGCTATACACCAGAAACATATGTCGTGTAGTGACGAGCCTGTTAAAACTTCAACCAATGCACTCCTCGCTAAATTGCCTTTGCCGTCCGCTGTGCCAATGACAACTGCTCACTTCTGCTGCCGGCCTTCATACCCATAAATGGCAGAGTACATTCCATCCACTACACCCCAGGTGTACCAAGGGCCTGATTTTTGGTGTTCGCAGGTAACAGGTTTTTAGCCAACCTTCCTGTCTTTTTTAATGAGATTAGCGTAAAATTCCCGTGCACAGTCGTAGTGGTAACCATGAATAATAACTCACTTGAATTCCTTGCATGCGCCAAGCAGTATATTCACAGGTATACTTGCTTGAATCACTTGTAGCCCTTCCCAGAAACAGAATACGGGGCTCAAAAATAAAAACTGTGATGCGATGCTGAAACGTTCAGTGTGTAATTTTGTTTCCAAAATGATAAACATCCATTTGCTCACTGTATCTTGTCGGTGCTAAACTGGTACTCTCCAATGCTATTATCAAAACTGTCTGGCACTGACGTTTCGCCAGAGTATCTTTTTGGTCTATGTCTCAAAGATGCTTCCTTTAACCGCGACTATAAATGTGCCGCAAGGCAACGACGACGACACGGGCAACATGTAACGTCCTGCTATTTACCCGTAAATCATCACATTTGCACTGAGTTTGCGTGGCGCCCTCTCATAAAGCACGCATGTCCTCCACGCGGCACCGCTTGCTAGACAGGGCGCACAATTGCCCTTCGACATTTGGTCTAAAGGCGTGCTTTCTACATCATTAGCGTCTGCCGGTGTGTGGACGGAGTGACGCCCCGCCTGAACATGTCATTCATATTGGTGCATTTACTGCTTTGGTTTGTACGCACTGGTCTTCTTGCAGCTGAATTTTCGAAAAATTGTGTCATGGGTGATATGAAATTCACACGTTCATATTTGGGCGCAATACTGATTCATCTAGTCAAAATCAGCCATGACGAAAGCTGCCCGAAAGGAGCTTGATGAGATGCGTGATGCAGGCAGGGAATGCATAATGACAAGCGTCACGTTAAAAATTGAGATAATGGCTCCGGTGTGCGTACAATATATCTAAAAATAGCTTCCGCTGAGGAAAATGTGCTAGCAAAATTTCGCTCTGATGTACGTGAGGACAAAGCTTGTCCGTAGGTTCTGAACCCACATTACACATAGGCGTGAAGTCTGGCTAAAAATGCGCTTCTTCAGTTTATTTCCTAACCCTGCAATTTATACACCTACACCGAAACTGCGTTGATGTGAGCAGTCCCTACACTCAAGGAGATCTCTGCCATTTGTATCAATTAGCGTCATGAGCCGAGGTTGGTGTGTGGGTGTTTAGATGTGATGTGGCGCGGTTACCTGCCCTCTGGCTGGCATATTGCGTGGCCTCTATTGGATCCCGTTTCGTCCAGGGTTGCGCACCTATGAGATTCTATTTTGTAGATAAGCTTTTTCACCTAAGGGACTTAATAAAAGTAAGAGCACGCTTATTCACAACAATCCACCGCTAATTGAAGAAAGTCTATTCAGGTTCGTAACATCATTTACAGAGACGTTGTAAAGGGCCTTAACGGAGACAGTTGTGAAGTCTTACTTATGTGGCCAAGTGAGGAGGAGGCACATGGTTTTTACCGAGCACATTTATCGAGACGCTTAAGTTAATGAAAACAAGTTGTCCGTTATAGGGTTGTCAGCCGTGTTTAGTCACCGCCTTTACCTTCCGACCCATACCGACATATCTCAGCCTTTAGTATCATGCCGTAAAGATTTCTTGCTATAATAATGACGAACAAGTTCACGCCGAGCTTTTACTAACAGAACATTATGCACACATGCACTCATATATCGATAACACACCGGAAGTGATTCTATGTTGATCTAAAATGGCTGAAAGCAACACGCAGCTCGCAATAAAAGATGAAAGGCAAGTTTGCAAGTCTCAAAATTACGTTGGTTCACTTGTGGAGCTGACTGGCAAAGACAAGGTAAGCGGTTGCCACATAAGAAGGGGCAAACATTGACCATCGTATCAAAAAAGGAGATAATTAGATGACTGTCCCCCTGTGGCGTGGTTACAAGCCTTTGTGCGCAAGAGGAGGTTCTTGTCAGGGCTTGGAAGAGGCCCCCTGATTACTATAGGAAGGGCCCGTCACAAACGAGAGGAGGTCCCAATAATACAATGCAATGCAACATCTTGTACCTTGCAACAGAGCGTACCGTTTGATGAAGAATCGAGATAAGGCAGGAGATCCCTCTGGTGACCGAGAGAAAAGCAGAAAAGTAGAACGCCTGTTAAGTAGAAACATTGGGCGATTGGGGGACGAGGGTGCGGTGCGGCAGTAAACCTGTGTCATGACGAATAGGACCATGATGTGGAGGGCAGGAGACCCCCTTCGAAATAACATGAGGTCACTTTTATGACTGGAAGTAGGTCGGTTTACGGATAAGGAAGGCTCCTTGTTCGGATCGAAGGGAGGCCCTGGTAATATAAGGAGCGGCGATGCAGATGTGTTGGATGACTTGTGGAATGACATGAACACCGGCATTGTATTAAAGTTGCAAGATCTGACACGCGCTTATGTTTCCCAATTTCAGTTTAGAAAGGCTCAGTACGGTTGCGTTTTAGAGAAAAGGCTGATGTCATAACACGAAAAAGCAACTTTGTACTTGTTAGTGCTTTTAAGACACACGCACACACGCACACCCACTTAAGCGCTACATTACGGATCAGTAACACGCATATCAGAACCGTGCCTGGGACTGTATACTGAGGGACTCTGTCAGCCATAGAAGGCCATCTTTACGACGACTTCTGGGCAGTCCACCCTAAAAAAAATGGTGCCGCCTTTTAAAGCTTGATGTTTGAGTGTTTCGTAGCCAAACGTCCAGCATCTGCATACCAGGAAGAACAACATTCAGGCCTTGATCATGATCATGAGTGATAGTGCCTTTTTCGAAGTCGCATTGGAAGCATTTTGTATTATGCTATGATACCGGGTGCAGTCGGGGTTGGTCGTGCTGTAGGACACCGCTGCCACCAATCGCAACTTGCCAACTTTCGAAATCTCTCTGCCCGATAAAAGGTCGGCTAAGCTGGTCAGACCTGCTACTGGATGTGTTGTGAAATACTTACCATGTTGATTTGTCTGCTCAGATCTTTCTAGCTTGCCAAAATCTTGAAATCGTGACAGGTTATGGGGAACCCCAGGCCAGGCAAAAAGTTTTCTGCAGCTGGTTGGACGTGGTTTATTGGAACTGATTATGTCTGCACGAAAACACTTCATTGTTTCAATCTTATTTTCCGTGAGAGAAACAATGAAAATAAAAAATTCCTTCCCCAGTCGCAAAATCCCATCGTCCCCCCCCCCCCCCCATCGTCCCCATCGCCCCATATGGCATCATATTACACATTTCAAAAGCAGGCATCATCACTCTGATAAAAGCAGGCACCATCACTCTGATAAAAGTCACTCCGATATTCACAGAGGAAACTGAAAAGACCGCCAAGAGTGTTCAGTGAACAGTTCGTCGTGTACGTCGAGCGAGAAATGGAGAAGTGTACCGGCGCCTCCGACGAAGAAAAGTTCCAGGTGCGCGTACTGACGTTTTTGGACTTGCACATCACGATACAGTGTTTGACGCGATATACGGATCAGTGGCATGTCAAAGAGCTCGCACACCCCAGGGTGATCTGGAACGAAGCAGGAGCAGGGTAAACGCAGCCGGATGATTGGGTCGTGGGGATTTACCGACTTAAAGCCTGACTTTATTACACGATGTGTAAGGCGCGTTTTGTTGTTTAAGACAACCAAACAAGTCTTAAAGATCGTAGCAAGAATAATCAACATTCATGCAGGTGCCGTCTTTGAACCAAATCTGTGTCGGGAAAACCAGTTGGAATGTAACACGTTAATCACAACGCAAAAACTCCCCGCCGGCACAAATCGTCCCAACAAGCTCACCAACGAGAATATTAACTTTTCAGATACACCGAGAAGTGTTTCAGTATCTTACCGAACAGTTCGGTGAGCACCGTCAGATCCTGTGCGACGTTAAGGCTCAATACGACGCTGCCATCAAGCGTCGGGATGACCACATCCGTGGTTTAGAGGAAAGCGAGGTACGCACCAACTGAACGCCAGCAAACGGGCGAATTTGAAACAGTAGTACAGTTTGAGTTGTGCGCAATGAGCTTGTCATGTAGGATGGCGGAAAAGCGAACAGGACTTCCGCTATCGCTGGGCCGCATGTGGTTAAGGCCGCAACATCACCGAGACGCGCAGAGGTAGATCAGCTGGCCGGCCTCAGCCTCTGGGATGTGCTTGCGTTGGCAGCGTCAGCTGAGCGCGGAGAGAGAGCGGCACACGAGGCGGCTCAAGTCGGCTCAGGTGCGGGCCTTCAAAGAGGTGGAGGGGATGCAGATGGCGCAGGCGCAGCTTCGACACCGCGTGGCCCTATTGTGTGAGGAGAGGGAGAAACTGCAAAACCAGCTGGAGGAGGTAAGCTCAGACAGGTGCAGCGCACCCAGTCTAAATATGCATCTCCGAAAGGCCGCATCAGTGTGGTTGAACGCACGGTTACTCAATCTTTGTCAAAACCGCCCGTGGTTTTAGCGAACGAAATATGTTAGGCATTGTGGTGACGTCATTGCTCCACTCAGCTTTCTCGTGCCATTACGGGCCATAGACGGTAGCACTCAAAATGTGGCTATATACAATATGCATTTACGGCTGGTCTAGCCCGAGAACCTCATCTTTATAACACCGTCCGTGTTTCGCTGGCGTTACGTCTCATTTGCATGTATTGTGTGTTCTGTGTTGATCTATGCGGTACGTACTGACGCGGCGTTCGAATAGCCACTCGCCGGATTTGGCCAATATTCGCAATAATAATAACCCATGAAAAAACGAAACGTGACATGCATTACGGTTAAGATAGGCCGTCGTGAGCTCACGGAACTATTTTGTTCATGCCACGTTTGCACGACATTGACATGCATACAATGCGTCGCGAATTCATTGAGATAAAGGTTTTTATAACAGCAGGCATTATTTTGTTTTTGTATATTCACTACTCTTGCAACATGTGCGAAAAGACCGACTACATAAGCCCTAACAAATAGCCTGGCAGTTCTACATGCTGGGAAGGGCACTGAGACAGTCAACGTATTCTTCTGTTAGTTTAGCACTAGCTTAATACTACGTTGCTCTTTTCCCATCCAATTGACAGTCAAATTGACCACGCTAGAACTATTTCTAAAAACACTGTGATTACGAGCATTACAAGTTACATCATTTGGAAGCTAATCGCTATGGCCTTCCATTCTTGTGTGACATTTGTACACTAGGGTGGATCGAAACAGGGTCAAACTTTTTTATTGGTAAGGCTAACCAAGCTTCGCCACGCTCAGCATTTTCACAATCAGGTATTAATTAAATTTCATAACACAGACTTAATGGAGTGTTCTACGCTTGGTGACATTAAAACAAACATTAGATATGATGGAATCAGCTGTTCTTTCACTAATGGTACACTTTAAGGTGAAAAATCTACTCTAGACAATGCGATATCCTTGTTGAGTGAATATGAATATGCTCATCAATACGCAACTGTTTAGTTCTGTCATCGTACCCTCCAAAACATTGATTGAGGGCTAATAGACGGCCGTCGTACCTGGAAATCACAGTAACAAGCGCTAGATATGAATGACTCAGCAATGGCACGTTTTCTTGGTCTTGATGGGCGCATGTCCAACGAAACGGACGGATTGGAATGACGTTATTGTGAAGTCACGGACACCTGAGTGACCTTGAAATAGTTCAGCCGAAATGGCCTACACATCTTCACGGGCGTACAGCTCAGAAGCTAGAAGGCTTTAGGTCTTAAAATGGACAGGGCTGTAAACTGCGCTGAATGACCTTTAAGATGGCTATTTCAGTTCAAAACTTTTAGAACATGTTGAACTCTCTTTAAGGTATGTGTTTTGAGCATGCTTATACGCAATATGAGGTCGCGATAATGCCAAAGACTAACGTGACAGTAGGTCCCAGCATGGGCTTCGCAGCGTCAATTGCCACTGTTAGCATTTGGTGGCCATAGGTGCACGGACACAAACGACGGCGGAGCGGAAAGTTGCTCTTTCGAACACTTCTTGAAGTTAATTAGGCCGTTTTGCAGGTAGGCCGCGTCGAATGTGCAGCAACTCCCTACCACCGTCCCCAGCCGGCCGGCCGTAGTTCGCCGTGCAGTGTTGCTGAGAAACCGCCCCTAATCCGAAACCACAAACGCTACGGTCGCGTTTTTTGTGCCAAAACACGCGCAATGGATTATGAACACATTACCAATACCTGTGCTTCAAAGGTCCTGAAAGTGCCAAGCGGGTATCCAATAAACACTACCTTTGTTATCGGCCATTATAATGTGAGTCCAGGCCAGGGCCACGCCGGACCATGGTAACAACAGTTCTACGTTAAATCGGGCCAACTCACATAAGATAAACGTCACGCGAAGTTTGCGTCAGGTCAAATATTAAAGCTCAAACAAGGAGTGGCTGCTTTGGGGACACCGGTAATTGGTTCCGTGTTTCTTCCGACTAGCCCCGAACCGCCCGCTTCCTGCGACACGTACTAGGCGGCTCCTGGTACGAACTCTATAGCCTTCCGTCCGTCCCCGGCCACGAACTTGACGTGCCGCAGGAGCGCGAAGCGTTGCTAGTCGAGCGACGTCGCTTCCGGGAGGAGCACGCGGCACGCCAGGTGGCGCAGGCCGACCTGGAAGAGCTGACACAGCGCTATGACGCCCTGCTGCGCCGTGTCAGCAGCCGGCCGCCGGCCGACGCGCGCAGCAGCGGCGCCGCCGAGGACCCGATCGTGCTGCGCGTGGCGCTCACCAAGTGCCGGTACGCTTACCGCGAGTCAGCTGCAGTCAAATATTGACATATATGTATATATATATATATATAATATTTTGGTCTTCATTTATATATATATATATTATATATATTATATATATATAATATATAATATATATATATTATATATATATATATATATTATATATTATATATATATATATATAATATAAATCTTCATTTTCCACAGGCACCAATCATTGGAAAGGCAGGCGCAGTGCCTGAAGCGACTAAGCGGGACTTGATGCGTCACCTCCGCCGCATGCCAGGGGCCATTTCATGTCGGGTCGAGGGTCAGTCAGGCTTGAGGCGGCTGGTGAGGGGACCACGCCATGCGGTATTGGATGGAAGCTGTGGTGCGCTGACGCGGTGGCGAGCTGCAGACGAGAACGGGCGGCGAGCCGGGCAGATAGTCACCGGCCGCTGGCGGCTGGCCGCAGGGAGGAGCTGACGGCTGTCTCGGCCCGGCTGGTGGTGATGGAGACCAGCTACACGGAGGTGGTGCCCAAGCGCGATCTAGAGCTGGCCCACGCCGAGACAGAGCGCGTGCGCGCCCGCGGCGAGGAGAAGCTGGCTGCGCTGGAGCAGGTGCTGCAGCAGGAGCGAGAGACCGAAGTGTACCGCACGCCGCGGCCTGACTGGAACAGGTGCGAGCAGGGCGCAACCACCGGCGCTCTACTGGGTCTTGCAAGGGAGATGGCTATGATCAGCGAGGCAGTCCGTTGTCTGACGGGGAAATTTTGCGTGTTGTGGAGGGGGGGGGGGGGGGGGAGAGACACGCATGAGCCTTGCTCATCATACTTTCCTAAACTGCATATTTCCACAGATTTCGCCATATTCTTGTGCTCAAAATTTGGGCCCTTTTCGGTCGCTAGTTATCCCGAGTTGTTCATATTGCCGATATTCCACGCAAGACATCTAGGTACAATTGGAGTTTTGGTGTAGGGTCCATGGGCCTTTCTATGAATATTGTTATGCAGATATTTTCAAAATCACACACAAAGCTACGTTGCAAACTTTTCCGATGCATCCCATACAAGACACGCACACCTTTGATTCTGAGCGGTGTTGCTTGGAGCGCCCTTGAATTACGTGCAGCATTTCAGCGATGTGAAAATTTGTGGGACAGCAGGGCGTTCGTGTCGTAGTGACGCTTCTTCATTCACATCTCACAGCTTCCGAAAATGTAATCCAACGATTTTTCATCTTTGCTGTTGTTTAGAGCCGGATTATTTGCCGAAAAACAGCGACTCTGCCACACCACCGCGTTGTCCCAGGGGACGTAGCGCGTGCCACAGGTAGTGCTGCCCCCAAGCCGCTCCAGGAGGCTGTCGGAGGACAGCGGTGTTTAGTAGCTGCAGGGATCCTCCCGACAGTGCTAGACACTGTGGCTAAAGGAGATACCTCATCAAACGGTGTGATGGCAGCGTTTCAGAACTGGCGAAATTACGATTGTCTCGTCCTTCTGGTTATAATCGAAGTATGCTGTGCAGCCAGGGGCAAATTCAGGCGGGTGGGGATGAAACCATGCCCCCTCGCCCGCCCCTTCGACCTTCGTAACGTTTTGGTTCCGCAAAGGGGCTCCGCAATATTTTGGTGAAGAGGTACCAACATTTCGGAGCCACATAGCTTTTATCTTCAAGAGGCACCAAATTCCAGGGGCACCACAAATCATCCCAAATCTGCATTTCCGCACAGACACCAAGCTCCAGGGCCACCACAATGTCCGTGACTTGGCTCTTGGCAAAATCCTGGGCCGGCCTATTCGGTAAAGGAGCACCAAACCACAATTTCTAGGCAGCATAACTTTTATTTTCAAGGCTCATCCAGCTCCACAGAGCACTAGAATGGTCCCAGAACCTTCGTTCTCAAGAGGCACCAAATTCCAAGGACACCACAACGCTGGGCCTCCCGCTCTGAAGAAATTTTGGGTCGGCCCCTTGAGCCAGTGGATGTTTAAACGTTCATTTCTGGGCACCAAGACCTTTATTTTCAAGACGAATTTCCGTGCCTTTTACCTTGTTCAAACATAATTCAGAATTTGCTCATCCTTTGACGTTCGGCTAAGCGGCACAAAAGCCTTCCTTTCGGGGCATCGAACCTTTATTTTCCGGAAGCATCCAACGTCAGTAGCACCACACAGGACTCAAAAACCTCCAGCTTCAAAAGGCAACAGATTGCACGGGAAGCTGCAGCGTTCGATTCCCTCCAGTGATAACATTGTGGACCAGCCCATTCGGTGAGGAGACATCAAGAACCTTCATATCGGAGCACCACTCGCCATGGCCCTCACTCATTCTCAAGAGGCGCCAATGCGAAGCAGACCTGTTAAAGAACCTGAAGCCTCCATATTTAACGGGCACCAAAATTCTTTGCCCTCCACTCTAACAAAATTCTTGATTGCCTCCTTCGGCGAAGAGCGACTAAAAGCCTTCACTTTGGGTCATCATAGCCTTCATTTTTAAGAGACGCACATTTTAAGGGCACCATAAAAGGGCCCAATTTCCAAAACACTTTAAGGGACCTCGAAACCTTCGTTCTCAAAGGACACCAATATCGGGGTAAATCACCCAAAAGAAATCCTGGATCAGCCCCGTCAGCGAAGGGAAACACCCTCATTTCGCACTGCCGTGGCCTTTTTTCAAGATTTTATCTTCATTGAAGATTCAGTTGCTGGACTACCGCTTCGGTCAGGAATCCTTTTGCACAGTGATGGCCCCGGCATCGATCCGGTGCCAGATGCCCCGATCAGAGGGCCTGCTGCATCCCCGCTTGACGGGTAGGGCGCATGATGTATTCCTCTGAGGGCCTCCGAATCGACTAAGGGGCCCCGAGCCCCGCGTCACTAGAATGGCGGCCGCGAGGGACTTTGGGCTGGGACGAAAGGGCTCTTCAGCTTCTGACCAAACAATTTCACCCATGCACTTTCGAGGATAGCCATCTGAACGGAATAAGCGTTTAAGGCAACACGAGCAATATAAATCACACTATTGCGTTATGTGTTCATCATTGTGCTGTGCGTGCTAATCCCTTGCAGACATCAATCTGAAAATCGCACACGTGAAGTCTAAGGCCTTGAATACTTTCACCAAGCATACCAATAATTCCATAAGGCATTCGATGATTCGATAAGGCTTCCGATGTGTGGTCGTTTCCGTCTGCCTGTTAATTAGCGTCGGTTGTATGCTGCGGGGCCGACAGTGTGCGGCCCTTTGAAGAAAGGATGAACATTCCTAGAGAAACAAGGGCTGGACATGACAATGCAAATTTTGGACCCTATTTCTATCCACAATTTTTATATCTTATCTTTAAAAAGTCTTAATCTTATTTTTAATTATTACAATTTTAATTATTTAATTATTGATTATTATTACAAATCTTAATATTTCTATCGCTGGCGTTTAATCTACGAGAGCCTCAATATCTTTGTAAAACCCCGCAAAAAATCCGGCTACCCACTGACTTTAATATTTCAGGAAGGATCGAATCAACCAAGGAAGGTGAATACCACTTACGGTTTATCCAAATTTAATTCCTTGTTAATTGCATTTTGTTGACTTCCAAGTGCATGCATAATTAGATCTTTTGGTAGCCTGTAGGTCCTCTATCAGTCAAAGAACTTCAACATAAAATGAAGAAAATTAATCCCTTGAAAGAGCGGCAAAATCCGGTGGCTAATTGTTGGATGATTTGGAGGGATTGGATTCCCTGCTGCTTTCTACCAGCAAGGGCCCTGAGTTACCTGCGGCGCCCTTCTTTTAGCGCCTTAGAAGTCTACAAATTCCATTGGCTTCGCCACTTCCTGCTATCACCGCCAACATTTCAACATTCGCCTCGTGCGTTGTCACTTAACTTATAACGATTCATCAGTCGTGCACAAACTACCGCCTTCGCTCTTAACCATTGACTGCGGGGTTCGATTCCCAGCGGTGCCACCGCCATTCGATTCTCTGCGCCTTTCCTGCTAGCGTGTGAGGCAGGCGGCGCTAGCCCGGCAGTCTTAGTAGCATCGCTAACCGCCATTTTCACGCAACCAGTCATTGTAAAGTCAGCGACTTACAAAATGCAACTTTCGGTTGGTTTCTTCACACGTAAGTTATGTGCCTGGCTTTGATGGTGTTTAGCAGCCAAGTGTAACTCGCTTTGCCATATCTTCTCCGAAATGCTTTATCTCAGAATGATAGTACTGATCAGTCTCTGGGAAAATATGAACGTGCGCCATATACAAGCATATCCAACTATGTCTAGCCCTCTACGAAACACAGAAGAAGACAATTCTCCGATTAAGAAAGAAGAGGAATCTGGAAATAAAATGGCCGATATCTGAGGATTTTTGTGTTAGGAAACACCAAGTTTCAGGGTGCGCAACAGTAAAGCGTGGCCCCTCCCTTGACGACATTGCTGAATCCGTTCCTGACGGTATGCCTCATGAATTCGCTCCTGGTGGTATGCGGCACGCCTGCAACAATGGAACGTTTTTTGTCTCTTTCACTGTGCTGTCGGACATCCATGGGTCGACCGGTGACCTCCGCAGCTCAGACCAATTGCAAAGGACGCGCTTGAATTTCACATTCATTCACGTTTGCCTGAAGTACAGCATTTGCGCCTCATTTCACCTGTAAAGGACAGGAACCTTTAATAAAAAACAGTTCAAGAATCAGCGTGTTCCTATCTTATGGACACGTGTATTGTCAACTTATTTTTGGAGGTGATTTCGGATTATCAAATTTTGAGCTCAATTTTCTTTTTAGCTCAATTTTTTGCAAAACAAAAACGCACCGTCTTTATTTGAAAGCAATGATAGAATTTTGGGGTCAGGTTTATACATTGTGGAGACCAGTGTCCTAGAATTGCCAACTTTGGGTTTAAAGCAGCACCTTTTGGGGAGGAATTTTTCACTCCTTTTCCCCATACTTAATGTGAATTTTTCACTCCTCCCTGACATTGTCTAATTGCACATGCCAAACCCATATTTCCCCTTCTGAGGTTTTCAGATGTCATGCAAAACCTAGCTCACTCGAAACCACCAAGCATAAACAAGGTTTCACAGAACCTGGACACCTATGGCTATGTCCTGCCTCACCTAAATCTGGATCATGTCCATGTATGCACAGAGCAAGGGCGCCAGGTACCTTCAAACCCAAGACCCCCCCCCCCCCCCCCCTCCTCTCTCCAGCGACTCCAGCCACTTGCACGCATCAAGTTTGGTTTATTTACAAAATGGATCACAATCGGCGGCAGTGTGCCAAATGCAAGGTTTTCAAGCATCCCCATTTTTTTTTTGTCTCACCACCACACCACGAAAGCAGAGCCTGGTGCAAACACCAGCAAGGTCTGGTAGAGAATTTTGCTCCAGGTATTTCTTTTACCCGAAGAAACTTGACGACTGAATTGCATCACTCTCGAAATGCAGCAGTGAAAAATTCAAGAACTGTATTCTAAATGAAATTTACAAAATGAATATCACAATTTGAGCACCTTTTTAACAGATTTTAAATAAAATCAGCTGATAAAAGACTTTTTCAAAAGTATCAGTCCTTATATTTATCTAACTACTTTTGTTTTTCTTGGTATCATACGAGTGTGATACCACTTTTTTCTTCCTTCCTTTCCCATTGCCTTAAGAGGTACCAGCTTTGGCTTAAAATCTTGACTAATTTCTCTGCAATATGCTCCAACTGCAAACTTGCATGTATTTTGTACATAAATTGGATTAATTCGCCAGCCGCCCAAACATGTTTGATATGCACGCAAGAGTGAACAATTCGCAGGGAAAGAAGGAGACAGTTTGAAGCACGAAACGTGCTTTTACCGCCAATTTTGCCCTGTTGAACCCTCGGTTAGCCATTTTTGGTTCGTGGAGGTGCTCGATAATGATAAATATAAGCCTTTCGAGTGTCTAACTCGCCAGGCTACCTGACAAGGCTATCCTTATGCTGCCATATAGAGCTTTGGGACCTGACAAACCTGACGCAGCTAATACAGAAGTGTTTGATGGTGAAATTCTGCTCTCCGGAAATGTTTATCATGCACACATCTTACTTGTTTCACATTTTAATCTCGTAGGTTGGTGGATGTGATTGCTATTTATATTTGGGGAGCGAGTGGGATGACTCTGTCTGTTAGCAAACTGCTCAAATTGTAGTACTGACTTTTTGTTTTGGTGGACCAGGAAGAAGTGTGCCCTGAAAAAGCCAGTAAGTCTCCTGTGAACCGAGTAATGGCTTACCTCACCTGCTTTCAACACATGATTTGTAACCATAGTCAACCATTTGCTGTTTTAATCCAATGAATTTTGTCTAAGACAAATTAGGATGCCACAAGGCATGCAATGGGCTTATTTTGTTCCATATTCTTGATTATTTGTCCCAAATTTCTTTTAGGTGGTCCCTCATGGTTGCTTTAACCAGATGTTTTTCATAGTTGTCATGATTTGCTGACTGGCAAATGACTACTATATATATGCACTATATTTTTTAACACTGGAATGCTCTAAGTTGCATAGCAATTATGATGTGAGGAAAGTATCAGCATTAAGCAAATAGACCATTCCATTGAAAAAGTGAAGCCAACATCTCAGACCATGTCATTAAACATGAATTAACAAACCCAAATAGATGCCCTTGCTGCAGCTGAAAAGGCAAGCAGCAAAACTGGCATGGTCATCTGAAAGTTAGGTTACTTTTGGAAAAGAGCGATTGTTTTGTGAAGCATACCCATTATTGCCCATGACATAGATTAACCATGGCAATCATAATAAGTTGTTCAAAAGTGATTGAAAGTGTTTTCATTTGTGTGTTGTGAACTTTGTCTGATGTCAACAAGCATACACAAATGAACTAAATGCAAAGGCAAGTTGAAACCAGCCAAAAAATGAGCTTTATCATGTTTTTATCATGAGCGCTGCTGTCAACATATAGGTGAGTTGAGATAACGTTCAACATATGGGCTACTCTAAGTTAGGTTAAGTTGTTAAGTGCATGGCAAGTGACAATAGGAATTCAGCAGGAATCAGTAACTCACAACTGTTGCTGTGATACCAGCAGGCTAGACAGAATGAGATGAAGTAAGGCCTCTTTAGGCTAGGCATAGTTAGGCTACTTTCACGGAAGTAAGCATTGGTATTTTGTAAGAAACAGTGACAAAATGTTTGTTTTCCCTGACCCCATCTTAACAGAAGCCAGAGGTATGTGTATTGTGCTTGACTTGGTGATGGCCTGATGTATAGGAGTCCAAGGTTTTTTTTTGTTTGAGTGCTTTATCCTTCTTGAATTTTCTGTTGCTATTTTGTTGTTGAATTCCTTTGCTTTGTTTTGTGTTAAAAATGCTGTGGAAGGGAGGTGCAAAGTGCAGCATCAAGTTATTGGTGTTCTGAATTTGTTACGCTCATTACGCTTTCATGAAATTACTATGCTTGAATGCATTCTGTTTCTCTTTAAAGGCCTACGATGTTAAAAAAGTGTTTTTCAGGTTTCTGATATTACATCCATGCCAACTTGAAATAGATGTCTGTTTGCTGAAGCGTCAGCCACTAGCTCATAAGTTCCATCTTTTGTAAATTGAATTTTTCACTCCCGACCGGTCTTTTTGCGATGGAATTTTCACTCCCACCCTAGTTCAAAAGCAATTCTAGCTCACTGGTGGAGACCCAGTCCAACATTGCGGCTACCCAGTCCAACATAAGGTGGCCCAGCTCAACATTCGGGGGCCCAGCCCAGCATTTGGGGAGGGGATGGCCCCTCACTGGGAGATACAAAGTTCCACCCCTGCTTGAGACGATGTCTTCTTCACTCGCCCCAAATAATGCGCTTTCATTGTGCTATGCAACGCAAACCCACATTGCTTCGCCGGGCTCCATACACGCATACGCAGCGTACTACCACACGTACAAGGTATGTATTGTAAGGCTAGGCTCAACACACGTATACGCAATGTATTGCAACGCCAGGCTCCAAACACGTCCACCCAGTGTATTGCAACGCCGGGCACAACACACGTGTATGCAACGTATTGCAGCGCCAGGCTCCACAAACGTGCACTCAGTGTACGTCAACGGCCACGTAGAAGATAACGTGTTATTTTACGTATATATTAAAACCGCATTTTACCGTTAGGGTCGATGAACTCCAGCGATCAGAAAAGAACAACTCTATGTGTCGGATACGTTCCCTGTGTCTGATGCAACCGAGGCATGAATCTTCCATGGAATTTGTATATGTATGTAGTACGCAGAGCGCACTGTTACTTGACAGGGCCTCCGCATACGTTCCGGGCGGAGAGTCGGCATGGATGACTCGGAGGGACGGCCTACCCAGCTGTGACGTCATGATGGAACTGCTGAATCAGCTGTCGGCGCCGGGTCCAGACACTTTCAAGGGACTGGTAAGAGCCCATGACGGGATCTGCCCGCTAAGTGGCCTGTTCGTCGCCGCACGCAACACCATTTGCAGTTGGAAATTAGCCATTCAATAAGAGACTCCGGCGTATCAGTACATGGGCTCGGGTCTAGTAAGCATGGAGGAAGTACAAGTGGCATAGGCCCGCATCATTTCGGGCAGAAATGTAGTACATAGGTCTCCATTCATTTCGGCATCAAGTGTTCCGGTTCTATGTTTTAGTCCTTTTTTGTTCTGGCCGTCTCCGATGCTTGTGTTCGCTTGCTGAGAACAGCACCAGAGGGCATTGCAACCCATGATATGCATCCGAAATCGAATTATCATTTCAACCGAGAGAGCGCTGGGTGCGTTCGCATTCTCAAAAGGTTCCTTTACACGACCAAGATGTAATGTATGACGGACAGGAAGGCACATCAGCGCTGCAGGCCAATTTGTGGGGATTAATCTCCGGGTAGCTCCTTCCATTGGCGGCGACACATAATTTTGGTGGCGGGGATGGGGACGGGGTTAGCCATAAAAGGCCTTGGTCAGCCCCGTACTCCGGTCTTTCTCAGTTTTACATCCTAAGCATTTGCGTGCCCTATGGCCCAAGTGTGCAAAATAAATCGCTTCTTTTATCTCTTCACCCGTTATGATTTCTACCTGGCAGTGCGAAACAACACGATTTTGATTTCGAGGACGGGGCGAGGCCTGGTTTTGATAGGTTCACTTTTAAATATTACGACTATGCACTCATTTTATTCCGTGAACATCTGGCCATATTGGCGGATCCAGCCCTCGGGCTGGGGGAAATAGGCATGTGGTCAAATTGCAGAACATTAAAACCATACTCTCAAATTTTAATTCGTTCTCATATTTATGCCACAGTGGACCGATGTAGCACATCGCTGTTTGACGTTTGGTACGTTTTTGGGTGTACGTGCGTGAACGTCGCGTGGCAATATTTGCAAACATTATAGATTTCAGATGGAGCTCAAACTCTGTCATTATATTGTCCAAAAACGTGCAAGAGGGCTCAAAAGCGATGAAACTGTTCCAGTTAATGATGCCATACATTTATCCGAGTTTTTGATGAGTTGAGTTACGCGTCGGGCTTTCTGGTTCATCGATAATATCTCTTGTGGGGTTAAACTGGACGTATGATCTGTCACCTGATGATCTGATGATCTGACCTGGGCAGTTTTTTTGAATCCAGTCATTTCACGAGATCTCATAACAAAGAAGAGTCTCAAGCAAAGCCTTGTTAGTTTTACAGCCCGTCAAGGGAGGCAGACAAAATGTCGCTAGTCATGAAGGAGTGTCCGAGAGACCACTGAATCGGTAGCATCAATTCCACCATTTTTAGGTTGCGAGGAAAAAAAGCATCTATACTTGGGTCTCACGGAAAAATGCCCCAAAAGCCAAACATACAATGCTTTCTTTTCGATATCTGAAATTTCCCCTTTTTCTTGAACTTGCTTTGAGGTGGCGGTGATCAAAATACCCGACGTGGTGACGCGGTTGTGCGCAAGGCATGCTTTGCCGAATGCCACTAATTCCCACATATCCATTCACGAAATGAATTGAGATCGTTCAACATATTTTTGAATATGCCGTCTGCCACTTGGTAAACGGCTGTCTTTATCGACGTGGTCCGGTTGGCCCGAAAACACGTTTAAATTGCTCCTAATCGTGTTCCTCTCGGAACAAACTCACGGGATGCAAAGCTTATCGGTTTCGGCACATAAAGCTAAGTTCTTTTTTGTATTCCCGCATTTAGGGTGGTATACTTGTAGCTACTGGTCAAACCCGGTGTCGTTGTATTTTGAGGTGTTTGTAAGCCATTCTAACTGTTCAGTACATTTATAGGATACAGTAAGTGCTATGATGTTATGCACAAATTTCATGCTATTTATGAAACGCTCTGCACAGTATTCGTCCGCTACTAAAACAGTTTGGATGAAAAATTGAAAACGGTTGTGCAGAAGGGTAATATTTTTATGTTCCGAAAATAGTACTTCCCTTTAAATGGTAGTTCCGAAATCCACTCGGTTTGGTGGAAGAGCGAAAAGCCATAATAAGTTTTCATTAATTTTGGGGATGCGGGTCAGGGCCATGACGGGAATGGGTTAGGGCCATGACGGGAATGGGTTAGGGCCATGACCATCCCCCTGATCTGCCAGTGTCCAGCTACGGCAGGACGCAAATACGAAAACACCATGCAAACGCTTCCGCGATTTCAAAAGGCACACTGCGTTATCACCATAACATCACTAACATATCTTCAAGCCATTATCAATAGACTTCAAGCTGCGGAGCCAAGTGGAGTACACAAAGCTTGGAAAGCGAGATGCAGTGATGAAATAGGTTGAACATCGCTGGATTTGGACCAGCGCACTGATTTGCTAACCCCAAACGTCCCGGTGCAGATTCAGGTGGGCGGGTCCAGTTGTAACGCACACACGCTTGCAAAGGTGATCGATCGCAGCTTTTCCTTTTAATTACCTGCTGACTTCCTGTAGTTTGCCTGCTGCTGCTTCTAAAAGGAAATTCATCACGGCGCGCACGGCTAACATCTTTTATTTTTCAGAGGTGCGTCCGAAAAAAATATGCAGCCTCTGTTTGGTGTTAGCTGTATGTGCCAGCGCCATCCGTAGTCCTGACCAGTGGGCTGCGCAACATCAGGCAATACATGACCTTTATAACAAATGAGGCCGTAGAGAGATAAAAGACCCATCATCACATATCCGAAGATGAGATTATGTAAATATGGTATATATCGTATATATCGTAAACGATGTGTTTGTGCTTTATTCCATCTTTTAAGTACTAGGGCCTTTTCAGGAGAAAAGCTCAGCAAACCCCTTGTTTGTTATCTTAGAGACGCATAAGAGCGCAGTCTTTTTTAAGTTTCCTTTTCCATTTTCTAGTCCGTATTATTCTTATAGAGCAGTTTATTTGGGGCCAACCGAACATTAGGGGAGAGACAGATCAATAATCGGTAGCCATGACCCCTGTAAAGAGATACAATGTGCTACCCCCGCGAAACAACCACCAAGAAGCGTGGCAATGACTTTGGGCAACCGAAGTGACAAGCAGGGCTCGGGTGTTTACAGCGCGAGGTACTCTTGATTGAAAGGCTTGATGCGAAGGGTATTCGCTCACTATTTTCACGGCGTTGTATTAATGTCAAATACGTTTAGCGCTCTGAATGATATCCTGCGCCTTTACTCCTTCACTCGCTTCACCAGGATACGTGTGCGTGTGTTCGACAATTTCGGGTGTCTGTGGTTATGGGGGACCGTCTCCCACATTCTCAAAACTGTGGGGACGCTCCCCACGGTCTCACCGCCCTGGCCCTTGGTGTAAATATTTTGATGCAAACTGCACCTGGTTTTCAAAGGGTGTCGATGCCGAGATCATCCCCGTCTTCCTGAAGTGGCAGAACAAGGCAAACAACCTAAGAATGACGCGCAGACAAGTGGTGTCTCTCATCTGCGACATTCTCGAATGCGACAGGCAGAATGAAGAGGGCTTCCAAGATTTCGTATGGAGGTACTTCAAGGAGAGGCAAGTTCTGTTTCAGTCGTGACAACTTCGCTCACCGTTGTCCTCGTGCCGACCTTACTAAGGTTGTCCTTCGTGCCTATCTCATCTCTGCTCCAATGTCGCTCTCGCTCATCCTTATCCGCATGCGACTTCACTCACCTTTGTTCCCGTGCCAACCCCACTAAGTGCTGTCTTCTTCCACCTCGCTCCCTTCTGTCATTGTGCCCCTCACTCACCCTTGTCTTCATGCCCACCTCATTCACCCTTGTCCTCATGCGATATTTACAAGTGTGATGTCGCATCAATTGCTATTTTTCAGTTGTCACGCAAAGTAAGCCATTGAGCATAGAAAGAACACGAGTCACATGTCTGCGTAAACATTCTACCCTCGACCCCCTCAATGCTGACCTGGGCTACTCCCTCCTCCCGCACGCCTGGTACCGCCCTCCAATGAACAGAAATGGGCTCATGGGTAAAAGGGAATCCTGGTCCTTGGCAACACAGAAAATTCCCTAAACTGCTCGCACGCTATCCACCTGAACACGTAATAATTAGTTTCTTGATTATTTTGTGCCACATAGTGTCCTGAAGGTTCCTAATTTGATTTTGTCATACCAACGTCTTCAAAAAGTGCGCCAGTCTGGAAATGTTGGCAGACTCTCCGCGAGAATATACCTGAATGGAGACAAGAAAAATGACTGCAATATGCAGCAGCTTTTTTAACCATAAGATTGCACACTTTAGAGCATAGGGTTTTATACGGTTCTGCACACAAGGCTAAATTGTTCCCACATCACGAATGTCCCTCTCAAGAACAGTGCACGATGAGTACGAGCATTTCATTCATTCTGATTGACTGATGTGTAATATCAGTCTTATCGAAATCCTTCTGGACAATTCAGAGTTTCAGTTGGAAGTAACTGTTCCTGCGGAAGAAATCTCATTAATTAGACTCCCTGCTCACTACTATCAAAATAACACGTTTCATTTTCCTTTTTAACGTCTGTGTTCTGTAATGTGTGGAACACACTAATTTTATCAAACTATAAGGAACACAACTAATTTATCAAAATGTTTTGGTACTAAATGCTACGAAAGCCTGAAACACCCCGTTAATAAAACAACATAGGCGAGGATGATGCTATGATTCCGCCAGTTTAACAAACCGTTATGCCACGGCTTTTATTTCTCTCCTATGGCGTTTGCCTCAGTGGCTCTTTGCGATTTGCACTTTGGCTTTGGGTACCACGGCGGTTGTCATGACGACGGCGGTAACGACTGCGGGGAACAAGCAAAGTGCGTTGAAGTGTTGAGTGTAATTTGGACCGGAATTATTAAGTTGATGTATTAGTACGCCTTGACGGTGCTGCAGGAGCAATAACCAGTACTTTTACCATACGTAACTTGCCCTGACGATGCCTGGCCTAATACGTAACTTGTCCTGACGAGTATGTTTTTGAAATATGCTCCAAGGGTGGGAGACTCCTCTTAATACTGCATTTAACATACTGCTACGTTTTTCCGTGTGCACTTCCGTTACAGCGGATTAATATGTGTGTGGTCAAATTCCACTCGACCACAATTCCAGCTGGAGACGCTGCGATGTCGAGGGATGATTAGAATTCATTGACTTTAAACCAAGACCACTAGTACACGCTACCAGGCCGCGCGACCATTCGATGGTATGGTGGCATTCGCCCGCCCGTACACTGTCATACTGCCTGCGCCTGCCTGCACATCTATAAATGTCAGTTGCGCATAGACGCATTGTATTTTGTTTCGTCTTTCTACGACTTCTTCATGGAGCTAACCTACTGTTAAATTTAGAAGGTGCGGTGCGAGCGACGGACTTTATTCCGTGGTTCGGGTCCGTTCTCATGGATAAAGAGGATATTTTATCATGACTTTGCTCACATGGCTGGGAATCAGGCGATAAATGCACCACTCTTCGCACTTGTTATTGTAAGGACGTGTTTCTTATTAACCGTGCGGTGTGCCGAATTGTAATGCACGATGATGCGGTGGCAACCATTGGCCTTAAGTGCAGATTGGGGACAGGGTTGCAGCCAGGATTTTGTTAAGGTGGAGGGGGGGGGGGCAGAACTTAGCGTGTGTGCATTACGCCGATAAGTTTTTTCTTTGAAATGGCGAAAAACGAAAAAGCTGGGTCTAAAGGGGCCCCTCCCTCCGACTGTGCCCCTATTCGACATTAGATCTTCTGCCAGGCTGTTTCACAAATGAGTGTCCAGGATTGGAATCGGCATATTTTGTGAGACACGTTTCAAAATGAAAAGGTCCGGCCTGTTGTTGATTGATTTTTGTGAAGAATTCTAACCGCAGATCCGACCAGTGCATTGAACGTCGACGTTTTTCAATAACATTCTTTTAAATAAGGGCACCTTTAGTGGTCATAGAATATTGCCTCTAGGCTGTTGGCTGCACGTGTCAAGCCACGCTATTCTGCATCAAGTCGTCTTTTTTTGCTTCAGATCACCTTTGATGAACGATGAGCGAGACCTAATGGTGGTGATGTTATCGGTCTTTTTTGCCGAAATATTACCGGTTCACCCCATTGTAAGTGTGTAACAAAATCTCAGCCTCTCGTCCGATTGAAATAAAAGTTACTCTTTCGCAGTAAAACATTTTTTAACCTACTACAGGTGCGAAAATAGTTTTTGAACGTTGGGAACGAAAACCAATGTGGTGTAGGTCCTTTATTGGTCTGGCTTCCCACAAATATCAGGATGTGACACCCCTGGTAAAAACTCATACCTTACTATCAGAGCACACCTAGCTGCCAACCACGCCCTGCTTTCTCCACCAGCAGTCTGTACCAGACGCAGGTGTTAAACATGCTGTCAGTGATTTTTCAGATCCCAAATGTCAGACATCGCCACTGATCCCTCCCGGTAGCAAAGAGAGAACTCGCAGAAAGATCTGGTGGCCAACGCCTTCCAGGTCATCGTTGCAATACAGCACCATATTGATTCTGCATTCCAGTGACGGTTGGACGAGAAAATGTCGAATTGTGATGCAGGGGTAGGAACCAATGTATCCTGCTCCCTCCCCTCCCCTGGTTTCCGCACTGTTAACACTCGAATCCCGCCTCTGGCAATATGAAATTAAGTTCTCAGGGCAAGAATCCTACCTCCGTCATGGGGGCGTCCGTAGGATCCCGGATTCTGGCGCCGCGACTGTGGCGTTCCGGATCTTGATGCGCCAATACCATGATTATTGATTGTATCACATATTTCAATTCCGTATGTCGTAAATCTCGGAGTCTGCAGCAACCTTAGTTTCAATGGTCACATGAATGTTACAACTGAAACCAGTGAAAGCTGGTGCAATAATGGGATCCGAGCCCTACTATTGAAGTCCCGCAAACGACATGACCCCTCATCAGTCTGCTATTGTGGCTTGTCAAGGGAACAGGCACTTCTTTGGGTGCCGTATGTCATCGATACTCACGGATCCTTCCGTCCACTTATCGCCGCGATGGCCAACAGTTTCTGACTTGACACCGAGAGCAATAACGTGGCGCTCTGTAGGTGGGTGTATCTGTGCTTATAATACGAAAGATTTCAAAACTTTTTTTCTGTCGCAAGAAGGCTGTGAGGAAGCATATCTTTTCTCAGATGCACAAATCGTCACTCTGGGCGGTAAACAGAGACATATGAGAAACAAGGGCTCAAAAAATTGCGAGGCAAAGAGTGAATTATTCAGTCGCGGCCTTCCCTTTTCATCAATATACGCCCGACAGGTACCCACTCGCGTGGCCTCACTGGACGTACAGCTTCCACTACGCCCTGGAGCGCCTAACCTCAGATGACGAGCATCACCTGCTGGTGGGGTTGGATGAGGCTGAGTTGGACGGCGAGCTCCCGCCAGAGCCCGCCGCCGAGCCCGAGGCCGCCGCCGAGCGCGCCTCAGAGCCCGCCGCCGAGCCCGAGGCCGCCACCGAGCGCCCCTCAGAGTCGACCGCCGGGGCCGAGCCCGCAGCCGAACCCGAGCCCGCCGCCGACCCCGGGCCCGCCACAGATCCCGGACCCGCCGCCCAGCCGGCAGCCGACCCTGCTAATGAGACTGGGTCCGTCTCCGACGAGAAGACTGCTGAGCTGCCGATGTCCTCCCCGCCGCCCCCATCACTGCGACCGCCCCCGCCCCCGGCACCTACCGCGGCACCGGCAAGACCCCCGCCCGCGGCACGACCCCCGGCACCGGCGCCGCCGCCACCGCAGCGGCGGCCGTCTGTGGCGCGTGCCGATGGGCCGGGCGAGTCGAGCGATTCGGCATCGCCTGTGGCAAAGCTGCAGCAGGTGCTGGATGAGGACCGACAGAGGCGGTCGTCTCGCCCCGGCTCCAGTCGGAACCAGTCGGCTTCAAAGTCGGCCAGCCGTCGGCCGTCGGCGGCGACGCGCTCCAGGTCTGCCAGCGCGGTGAGTAGCGCGGCTGCAGGGCGCCGCTCGGGGTCCGCCGCGCCCTCCTGCCAGGCCTCACACTGACCTGTCCACACTGACCAGGCCTCGCACTGACCTGCCCACACTGACCAGGCCTCATAACTGACTGTAACTGCTGATTAGAAAAGCAATTTCCAACCACGACAGGCTGAAAGCAGTTATGACTAGTCCCTGTGAGGATTTGGAGGGCGGTGAGAGGGGCGTATTTTTGTATTCTGTTTTATGTTCCTTTCTAACCATATGCAGGTAACGATCTATTCTTCCAGATCTGTGTGGGGCCGCTGCTCCTCCAACCCCCATCCCTCACCCGCAATTCGCCTGCTGTTCCTGTAAGCACTACTGTCATGCTAACACAACTGTAGCTACTGGCGTCTGATAAGTTTTCTTAAAATAAAACCACAGTCTTGCAGATCATTGAAGCATCAAAAGCGAAAAGCTGGCAAGAAATTTTGCTTCATGAGTCAGGAGAAGGTGTTTTAGCATTCTGCTTGCGATTTAGAGGAGATGTTTATCGGTTACCCAATTCCTGTAGCTCTGTTATTGGACAGCAGTTTTGTT